AAGTAACTCTTAAGAGAAGAGACAAGAATGTCTCTTTGTTCTTTATCAGAAAGCCTCCTGGCGGGTAAGAATCTTGGAATCTTTCTGGAGATTTAGAAAGTTGTGACTCCGCCCAGAACCGGTCAGACCCCATTCTGTAGCCAAATTTTAAAGACAGGCAATTCTGACACTTACCCCTTCTTTTGTCTATCAGTGCTTTTCACTTGTGAAGTTGGTATGTTGCCAGGGACACAGGAAGTACAGCTAGAAGTGGTCCAGCAATGATAACTATCAAGCCTGATAATTTTTAAATTTATTTTCTTTATTCTTTGGCAACTTCATATATGTATCTAGTAGATTTTGGTCATTTTTTGACCCTGCCCCCCAATAGCCTCTCATCCCATTCCTGCTGAACCCCTTTATCTGAAGTCTCCCTCCTAGTTTCAGTCTGTTGTTGTCGTTGCTTTGTTTTTTCAGTGGTGACCAACTGAGTTTAACTAATTAGAGGTGCTTGCGTGAGCATGGGATGGTGGTAGTTACTGAAGCATGGGCATTTTACCAATATCTACACCATTGAAGAAAATGACACACACTCCCCCAATAACCAACACCTGTTCAGAGAAGATGGGGCTTCATAAGGCCCTCCTCCCTCTGTAATGAAATATTGATAGGCTCCATCTTGTACAGGTTACCATAGCTACCGTGAGTTCGTGAGTGCGATAGCCATGTCATATCCGGAGGACAGCATTTCACGGCATACAACCCCTCCTCTGTGATGTTCCCTGAGATTTGGACTGGGTGTTATAGAGGTCTTATTTGGGGCTGGAAGCACTTTGACACTTCTAAAATGGTTGATTGTTCAAGTATTAGTTCAATCAAATGCCTAGTCTCCTGTCTTACTTTTTGGTTTAGTTATTCCTGAAAATTCCGTGAAGGAAATCCTTAGAGGACCTGGGACCATCAAAGATCGAATCAAGAAGTTACTGGCTCACAAGCACAATATGAAGAAAAAAGTGAAGCTTAAAAATGTCACTCCAAGGCCCACCACTACACGCACCCCTAAGGTTAACTTGCCTTTCAGCTCTGAAGAGAGCATTTCCAGGAGCAGGAATTCTGATGGAGAACAAAAAAGGAAGGAAGAGAGAAAGAGACAGGGACTTGAGGAAGAGAAAAGAGACGAAGTCCTAAAGAACGAGGTAGAAGAGGAGCGAAGCCTTCGAGGAGATGTGTTTTGTAAGTATTGCTTTTGTTATTCTTGCATTCTACAAAAACAAACATAATTCCTCATGCCAAATCAACAAACAAGAGTAAACAATTCCTGCCTTAAGAAAGATGGCTTAGCTTCCTTTCAGTATACCGAGTCTGAAACATGCAAACTTTTTATATAAAAAAAATGCTTAATACAATCACTTTATTACATCACAAATAAAAACATCACACAGCAATTTTGAGGAGGCCACTCAAACATTCGTGTAGTCCCAAACGCTATACACTTATCATGGCCATTCTGAAGCTGTGGCATATCACTTGGGGTTTCACTACCAATTACATTTTTATTCACGTAGCCGCCACAAAAAAGAAAAAAGAAAAAAAAAACGTAACAGAGTTAAAACTAGGACAAAATAGCTTCACATCCTCTCTTTCATGACTCATGTGTCATTTCGCCTGTATTCTGTCCTTCTCTTCACCTAATATTACCCTTTCTTGGTCTTATTTCTAAATACTATACTATACCCATACTTACATCTGTTGAGATATATACACATACACACATATAGACATATATACATTAGGGGTTAGGATCAGCATATGAAGAAGAACATGTGAATAAATGTTTTAAAACTAGAAAAAGGAGAAGATTTTGGCCCTTAAGTGCTTAGAAACAAGGGCCTAGGTAAGATCTAGAGAATTTTTCCACGGGTTTTAAACGGGAGCTACTGCTCTGGAAAACAGGAGGGTAAGTCCTGTCCTATTACCTTACTTGGGAGCTTCCGGTCTGGCACAGCCCCTCCCTGCCAACACCCAGAAAGCATAGCTGTATGGCTGCCAGACTTTTCATGCAGGATACCCACCAAATCAGAGACCTTCATCACCAGATCTCCCAAACACTCCCTTTTTACTTCTTTTTTAAAAGGTTTTATTTTTCCTTTGAGAGAGGATCTCTCTATGTAGCCTTGGCTGGCCTGAAATTCCCTATGTAGACTAGGCTGGCCTTGAACTCAGATATCTGCCTACCTCTGTTTCCAAGTCCTGGGATTAAAGATGTGTGCTACCATACCCAGCATCTGAAAAGTTTTTATGATGCCCATGGTGGTAAAGAGGCAGAGGCAGGGATCTCTGTGAGTTTGAGGACACTCTGGTCTACAAAGTGAGCTCCAGAACAGCCAGGGCTTTAAAAAAAAAAAAACCCTTGTCTCAAAAAAAATGATTTTCTGAGCCTATATAAATTATACAAATGAAATTTCATACATGTATAGAATATATTTTTGTCATATTACGCTCTCTTGACCCATTTTTACTCCTGCTGATCCCCTACCTCTTCCCAACTAGTCTCCTTATTTTCATATCTTTTTTTTTTGTAACCTGTTATGCATCTGAGTTTCTTCTCAGGGGAGATATAAACAACCTTATAAGACCCCAACAATAGCACAAAGGATGATTGGACTATAGTCTATCCTGGGTAACCAATGAGTCTGTTGGGCTTACTAAGCGTGAGCAATGGGCTGCTTACAGGAGTGAGTGACCCCAAAGCAGCCACACTACCATTCAGTCTTATCTCTGCACGATGACAACTGCCCCATAGCGCATAGATGGAATACTCCATCAATTATCCATCTGCAACCTGTATACTCTAGCAAGACTGCTGGGCATGCAGTTAGGGCAAAATTATATACAAACGCTAGGGAGGTGTAGGAAGGAGCAGCTGGAAACTCAGGTGAAGGTCCAATGCCCCCCCCCCCCCCCCCGCACCTTCTCCTTCTATGGGGGAACATCAACAGTCAATAGAGGGAAGATGAAGGGATTGTTATAGGAGCAACTTACTAGCCAGTGGTAAAGCCACTGGAGAAAATGTCTCTCCCTCTCCCCTCTCCCAGTGACTGGTTGTTTTTTTTTTTTAACTGAAATCACCTGTGTTTAATTTCCAATTGCTGAAAATACCCCTGACCCTAAAAGGTAGGAGTAAGACAAAAAAAAACAAAACAAAACTGCATTAACATGACTCCCAGTGACTGTTAACTGCCAATAGACCCTCAGGAAGTGATCAGGCCTTGTGAGCCCCTCTCACCTCACTTTTTTTTATTTATTGAAGGCACTTTTCAAAGGCTCACTGTATGAAGAGACTATCACAGCTGTACGTTTATGGTTTTAAAAGCCAAAATAGCCAGGCCTGCTGATGTACGCCTTTGGTCCCAGCATATAGGAGGCAGAGGTAGGCATATCTCTCTGCATTTAAGGCTACGCTGGTCTGCATAGCAAGTTCCAGGCCAGCAAAGGCTACATAATGAGACTTTGTGTCAAAAGGAATTTTAAGCCAAAATACAAAGATTACAGAAGCAGCAAAACACTACAACACAGATCTTGGTTTTTCTGCATGAAATGGTTGGCTGATACACCTGTTTGCTATATCCTTGCTGCAAAGGTTGCTGTACAGAACCCACCATAGGTCTCGGCCCCTCCAAGACAGTTTGTGTGTTAACTCCAAATCCCCACACTGAGACCCAATTTCCTACTTTCTGGGTACTCCATTTTATCTTGTATTCGTGGCTGTGTGACTGGTGAGCACATACACAAAAACCAAGTGGAATTAATCAAGGACTAGGCAGACACGGGCTCATCTAGGTCAGAAACAGTAGACCAGTCGCACAACCCCCCTTACTAATGAGAATTTCAAGAAAATGGGTTTCCAAAACCTGGTGAGAAAGGGGTGAGTCCGGAGTGTGAATGTTGCACTCTCTCGAGGGAACTTCTAAAAAACACTCTTCCAGGGGAGGAAACTGGGTGAGAACTGGTAGGGAGGAGGAGATCTAACATGTTTTTGCCATCATACTCCATGACAAAACCTTCTAGGTTCCGACACTAAGTTCATTCTTTGGTGCATGTGGGGGTTTGGGTTATTTCTTAACTAATCAAGGTTCTTTATCAGCTAAGGTAAATGAAGCAGAGGATTTGGATCTGGTTTACGTCCAAAGAAAAGAACTAAATTCCAAACTGGAACACAAAGGTAATGATTTTTAAAAAAATAAGAAAAAAAAAGCCACAGCCCTCCTCTCAAAGAGAATAAATGATAAGTAACCCCAGCCTAGGAACAGAGATTTCAGGTGCCTCAACCATCATGTTTCGGTGTAGCAACAGTTTCCTAGATGTTTACGGTAAAGAACAAAGAAGGTCACAAATCAAATCAATTTTCAGACGCAGTGATGAGAACACCAGGTCGATAGGTTCCGGCCAAGTGGGGGAACCTCTGTTATAGGCCCCAGACGCTATCTGATGACATTTTAGCTTTGGGGTTGACAGAATCTGGGAGTCTGCTAAGTTAATACATCTCAGAAGGATTCATCTTATAGTACAAGGATGTCAGGTCAGACATGGAGGCTGGCAATGAATGCCTATTAAAGGGGCTAAAAGTAGCGCAAACGTAAATTTGAATCCACATCTGCAGTCACTGAAGTCGCCTTTGGTTTGGCTCCTTTCCGAAACTTTTGTTCACAGTAACTAATGCTTCTTCCTAAGTATTCTATAATTTAAAACAGTAGCAGACTCAAGGAAAGGAGCTGACATGAGATCACCCTTCAGGAAGACCTTTCTTAGATGCAGCCATGAAGTGGGAGAGACCTTTCAACTTAGGAGAGAATAACATCGGCCACAGGGACCCTGAAGGAAGAAAGAGCTGGAGAACAAAGGGGATTACCGACTCTTAGAGGTTTGGGAGCTGGGAAGTCCGGCTTCATCCTGCGTGATGTAGCAGAGGCTGGCCTACACACCAGCCTGGAGACAGACACTAGATAGCTCTATCAACTTACCTTACGAGGGGGAGGGGCTTCAAGAACACAGCCCAGCACACTTTCTCAGCCCCTGGGAGGGAGAGCAAAGCAGCTAGAGAGTCCGTGTCACTCCTGCATCATCTTTCATTTCCCGAAATTACTGCTTCAGTCGTAAGCAACCAAGAGAAAACCCGCTACACCGCGGGGCGCAGAACCAGTGTGTGTTACTCTCCCTGGGGAGACACGAGAAAACAAATATTCATTCTCTCTAGAGGTGGCACTAATGACAGACTAAAGTAACCTTCCCAGCCGTCTAAGTTGCTGAAACAATGAGCTTATGAGGCTTACTTCAAAGAAGTATGAGTGAATGAGAAATAGTGTATCACTGAAAGGTCCCATTTCAGTAAAGATGATGATGATGTCACTAAAGCTGCATCATGGAGTCCTGCCTTTTTTCAGGTCCTATCTGCTCTAGTGTCTCCTAAGACTATGTGCAGCTGAAGGGAGGGGATCAAGAGGGAGTAGGTGGCTGGAATCCTAGGTGAGAGTCCAGTGACCCTCTCCCACTACTAAGGACTGTTAATGACTCTGTTACTACTGCTATAGACCTACTCATCACTGTATTGTTCTATTTATTTTGTTGTCATGACTACAGGACCAAGTACTCTGTAGGTTAGCTCAGCATCCTTTCCTCCATGGTAAAAGATGGTTATAGCAGGCCAGAAGGAAATCCCTTTACCCCTAACCACCGGTGTTTAAATAGTAGGTCATTTTTAAAGGTTTTTATTATCATATGTTAATTATACATAATGAGTTTCATTAGGACATTTTATACATGCTTATAAAGTATTTTGATCATTTTCATCCCTATTGCCTAACTGATTCTATTCCTCTTCCCAACTAGTTCCTACTCTACTTGTTAGAGCCTAGATCATGGGTCTGCCCCTTTAAGAAGCTGATCACATTAAGATGCCGGTCAGGCACTGTAAGAGGCCAGATCTCACAGGCATATATCCCTGCAGCTCTCCCTCTGGGTCAGAGTTATGATGCCATGCTGTGTTGTTGGCCTAACAGCCAATAAAGTACAGTCTTACCCAGGACCTAACTCTTCCATGTTCTTTATCACATAGGCTATGCTGAATTGGACTTCATGGTATGAAACTTCCTTTCAGTTAAGAAAAACATAAAAGCCAAACTAGCCCCTTTCTCCAGAGTGTCTCTCTCCCTCTCCCTTCCCCCTCTTGTTTTTTGAAACTTGATTTCTCTGTGTAGCTCTGGCTGTCTGGGAACTTGCTTTGCAGACCAGGCTGGCCTTGAACTCACAGAGATCTGCCTGCCTCTGACTCCCGAGTTCTGGGATTACAAAGGTGTGCCACCACTGCCACCACTACCAGGCACCCAAGGGGGCTTCTCTAAAGACTTCTGCTCCTCTGGACATCCTACCCACATGCTGCCATGGATGCTATGTCTCTTGTACTTTAGGGTGCCTCCTTTTTTCTTGTCCTTTTGGGTTTTTGTTTATTTGTTCTTGTTTTTCGAGACAAGTCTGTCTGTGTAGTCCTGGTTGTCCTTGGACTCATTCTACAGACCCAGCTGGCTTCAAACTCACAGAGATCCAGCCGTCTCTGCCTCCTGAGTGCTGGGATGTGTGCTAGGCCATCTCTCTTAACGGAACTCCTCTCCAGGTTCTAAAAAAGAGCCCCTTTCCCATTAAGATGCCCATCTTGCTGCCTCTGATAGGCTATCCTGTCCCCCGTCAATGCTGCCCCACCCCAAAGCCAAACCTGGCCTCTGCAAAATAGACAGTCATGGATCTCAGCCTGATCTAGGTTCAGGCTCAGTTCCAGCATTCAGTATCTGTGGAGCCTGGATAAGCCACTTAGGAGTTTTAGATTTATTGAGGGTCCAATGACAGATATTTTCAATAATCAAATTAGATGACATGGCTTTGTGGGGGGAAAAGGCAAATTGCAATGAGTCGAGAAAAAGCAAAACCTATGGGCCATCAAGATGGATCAGAAGGTCAAAGCATCTGCCACCAAACCTGATGACCTGATTTTGATCCCTAGGACCCATATGGGGCAAGGACAGAGCTGACTTCCACAGACTGTCCTCTGACCCCCGCATGCATAGTTAAAATGTAATTTAAAAAGTTTTAATACCAGGTTGGTCTAACATAATCATCCACACCTTTAATGCCAGCATTCTGGAGGCAGCGACAAGTGGGCTTATATAGTGGGAAACCATTATGCTCTATGTAGTGAGATTCAGCCAGTCGGGGCTACGCTGGAGAGAAAGGGGGCTGCCTTAGCTTTAAATCAGAAACGTCTTGGTCTTTGCCCTCTTTCACAGTGCTCTGTCCTGGTTATCTTACATCGTGAGTCAGCACACTTTTCTGTGGTAAGGGCCAGAGAGCAAATACGTGAGGTTTTGTAAGGCATATGGTCTCTGGAGCACATAGCTTCCTTTGTCCTTATAGAGTAAAGGAACAAGTAGACAGTAGGCTAAAGTGCTGGCTTGCAGACCTCTGCTTTACATACAAGTTCAAAACCAGTACCTAGCACTAGCTGACTCCGCTCATATTCCTTTGTTATGTCTGCACTACACAGTCATTCTGCCATCACAGCAAACAAACAAACAAAAAATACAATTTAGAAACTGCCAGTAGGTCAGCCTATTTGATGCAATATGTCCCTGATAAATTTCTAACAGGAATATTGGAATCATGAAATGCCTGTTAGATTTTAATTAATGGAGGTGACTGAGTGGCAACATGAGGCCTCTGCCATTGAGACAACAGTTTATTACGTACACTCACAAGAGAAGGGGACACACTGAGCAAGAGCAGGAGCTAGTGGAAAACTCAACCAAGGTCCATAAGGGTTATGTAGAAGGAAAGTCAACGGGGAGGAGCAAGGGGAACCATTTAAGTTTGGATCATTTGAATAATTTCAGAGACCTTAGGACAGTGGTTCTCAACCTGTGGGTCACAACCCTTTTGGGGGTCAAATGACCCTTTCACAGGGGTCACCTAAGACTATTGGAAAACAGATATCTATATTACAATTCATACCAAAATTATACTTTATGTAGTAGCAATGAAAATAATTTTATGGTTGGGGGGTCATCACAACTTGAGAAACTGTATTAAGGGGTCACAGCACTAGGAAGGTTGAGAGTCACTGCCTTAAGGGCACAGGGGCTATTCATAACTATCTGGTTCTGAGCTGATGTAGGTCAAGGGAAATGCTGGTTTGTTTTTTTGTTTTTTGTTTTTTCGAGACAGGGTTTCTCTGTGGCTTTGGAGCCTGTCCTGGAACTAGCTGGGAAATGCTGGTTTGATGTGTGTATTGGCCAGTTTGCCCTCACTGTTACAAAATACCTGAGCCTTGTAGAAAGGGTTGTGAGTTCGATGCTTTATGGCTGAGCGCTCCACAGACACTTGTTTTCTGTGCTTTAACTCTGGCCTGAATTTTATGAACAACCAGTTATATTCCTTGTTTTGCTTCACTAATGAGGGTCATTGGGCTCTTAACCATGGAGCTATCTTTTGAGTTCCTTTTGTTTTATTTTCTGAGATTACAACAGAATTTGCTGAGAATGGCTATACAGATGTTACTCAAAATAGGGGATCTGGAGAGGTGGTTCAGTTAACTTGCTGCTCTTATAGAGGGCCCAGCTTCTATTCTCTCCCACGTGCTGGCTCACAACCATCTGTGACATAATATACATATAATTAACCATATAATGTCCTCTTCTTACCTCTATGGGCACCAGGCACGTTTGTTGTGCACAGATGTACATGCAGACAAAACCCTCATACTCATAAAATGTAAAAGTCTAAAGATGGTGCATCTGGCTTAAACTACCCCTACAAGCATGTCAATTGCCACGATCTATATTCTGTGCAGCTAAACCCATGACATCCCAGACATTCCAGAGCTCCAAATTAGCTACTTTTGTGATGAGCTTAATGGTTCTGAATATACTTTTATTTTTTTTTTTTTAGCAGACTTAAACATCTCAGTTGACTGCAGCTTTGATCACGGGGTCTGTGATTGGAAACAGGATAGAGAAGATGATTTCGACTGGAATCCTGCTGGTCGAGACAATGGTATTTAAATCTCACTGCTACATGTTCTAGGAGAGGTAGAGAGAAGGCTCTTACTACTGTAGGGTTATTCCTGTCACTGCTGAGATCATGGCTGTTTGTCATCTTTGGGAACCTTTGACCTTCTGAGGTGGCCTCCGATGAATAACTGGTATAGCATCTATTTCCTCTTCACCCCTATCTTATGACCCAGGAAATGTGTCCCAGCATCCCTCTTTTATATTTATCCTCTTCTAAGAGAGCGAGAGGGAGATGGGAAAGAGAGGAAGGTGGGGGTGTCTCTGAGATCTCCCTTTTCCCCCAGTTAACCAGCCACAGTCCTCTGTAGTTTTTATGTTGTGTTTTGATAGGAAGCAAATCTTTAAAGGTAATAGGACCTCTGTCTACACTGGAGCTATAGTAGAGTCACCTCTCAAAGGATCAAAACCACGATGAGTATCAAGTTAATAACCTAAACTCCAAGACTCAGCTTCCCTTTGGGTTACCTAAGAAATCTTTGTGACCACCTGGCCTTGGATTGTTCTCACCATTAGCGCTGAGCCATGAACTTCCTGCCTTTTGTAGTGTCTGCTTCAGACCTATTGACAGGCCCTGGCTTCCCCTTGGATGACGTATTTGACTTGCAGACACAATGTGGAACACATATAGAATCCTGCTCTCCTGAAAGCTGGCCATATAACTGCAACAACTGTTAAACAGCTCCGAGTTCCGTTCCTCACTAGTATAATCGTATTTCTTTGGGGATGTACAGGCTCAGCCTTGGGTTAAAAGATCCTTTCTTAGGACAAATTCCTTCCGAAGATATTTCATTGCAAGCCCATACCTGCAGCCAGAAAGCTTTGCTATCCTGTACCAAGAATTCCTGTTAGAACCTGTAATTGGGGTAGAAGGAATATATCCCACACAGCAGTTGTTCTGGTGGGCCAGCCATAAAGAATCAAGGCAATGGACAACTTTAAGAAGAGATAATACATCTTTGGAGAAACTGTCTTGATAACTAACACGAGTTCCTCCTTTCTACCATCATGTGAATGCAGACATTGGCGCCGCCAGACCTATAGCACATGGGGAGTCCCAGACTGACAGCTCACCTAGTCAGCACTAGCTTGCGTTGAATTCTCATCAGTGAGAAGTCTTCTATTTGCAAACACCCAATTTGCAAATGACCCCCCCAGCTTCTCAGCATCTGAGGCACTCACATCACACCTTCTCTCTTCTGACATGTCCATCAGGTCTCAAGACGGTCTTGTCTTCTCCTATAGAGATAAATGTAGATGAGAATACAAAATGGAATGAGCTGATAGTATTGGAGGGCTTCAAGGAAGGATGAAAGCTGGAAGGCAAGCCTTTGGCTGGGATTGAAGAGGTCACAGAAGCAAGAGTATAGCTGATGGAGTGACTGGATAAAGTACAGGATGCCTTCATTTGACATAGACTTCTTAGCAGTCTTAAACATATGGTTTACTTGAAATTTAAACTCCACTGGGCATCCTGGAGTTTAACTTGATGAATGCTCAGATCGGCTTCACTTTCTTCTTTTTATCCAGTCCTGGACTCCAGCCCAGGGAATGGTGCTGCCTCCATTCTGAGTGGATTTTCTCACAATTTAAATTTGGATAATCCCACGTAGACATTACAGAGGCTAATCTACTCTAGACAATCTCTCACAGATGTGCCCAGAGGCTTGTCTCCTAGGTGACTCCAGAGCCTGTTAGACTGACAATCAATATTAGCCATTGCGGTTACAATGGTTACAGACTCTGGTGCAGCTGTTGTAGAAATGGTATACCATCCCAGTGAGAAATCAGTGCTCGCACACGCAGATTAATAAAGAATAAGACTCTTAGCACACGTCTGGCTCTGGCTAATTCCCAAAGAGAAGCTGGCCTTGACTAGCATAGTTTGCTAATTTATGTGCACCTTAGGCTACCATTCCATACATGCTGTCATCCTTAGTCTCTTTCAGGTCCCAGCCTCAGGTTACACTTTAAATAATTTAAACAGAGCCAAAGAGACAGGAGAATGCAAGTCTGGCCACTTAGGTAGATTTACAGAAAAGATTTCGTATATGGCCAAAAATATTTTAAGTACGTCAGCATTCTCCTTTTCCAAATAGATGTTATCAAGGGTCATTTTGCCCACCTAGCAGAACTATCCTTTTGCTAGGGAAGAGGACCCACCAGTGTCTAGATCCAGTGAAGACTAAGGCAGCTTTCTGACCCTTAGAGCTTTTCTCTGTATAGGAAAAGATTTTAACTCTCTAATCCATAGGACTCACTTTTGCATGACTGTTCCATTCGAATGGAAAGGACTTCAGCATGTCCTATGGGAGACTGTTGTTCATTTTTCTAGCTTGTTTATGTAGTAGAGTTAGACCCCTACTCACCGTCTTTTGCTCTCTTAAAGCTATTGGTTACTATATGGCCGTCCCGGCACTGGCAGGGCACAAGAAGGATATTGGCCGACTGAAACTTCTCCTCCCCAACTTGACACCCCAAAGCAACTTCTGCTTGCTCTTTGATTACCGGCTGGCTGGAGACAAAGTAGGAAAACTTAGAGTGTTCGTGAAAAATACCAACAATGCCCTGGCATGGGAAGAGACGAAAAATGAGGACGAGAGATGGAAGACAGGGAAAATCCAGTTGTACCAAGGAATTGATACTACTATCAAAAGTGTAAGTGGAGAAGGAATCCCATAGTTCCATTTTTCCTTTTTCAGTGATTCAACAAAGTATTTGCTGGTGTCGCTAGGTCTCAAGAGTACAAAGATAGGCCTGACTAATGAGGGTTCTTGTCCAGTTCTTCCCAAAGAACCTATTGGTGTGTCTGGCCCTTCTAAGTTCCATGCCAACCAGGCTATGCATGCTTGGATAAGTTAAAAACAAATAAGCAAGCAAGAAAAGGGTTTCTCGTTCATTCTATGGAACTTAGCTCAATAAGTGGCAGCCAGAATATGATTATTTTAAGGTTATTTTAACTGAACTGAAGGGGTAGCTGTTGGGGAATTCCCACTCTTGGGGGGATGATCTTTCAGGAGGTCTAATAGAACTGATAAAGGCTGTTACAAACTTCAGTTGTGGTTTATATACATTAAAGTCAGCAAGAAGTAAATGGGATGTAAGCACAGGGGTCAGGAAGGACTAGGCAGAAGCTTGTAGCTTTCTTTGCCCAGTAAACCCCTGGGCAGATCTTAATTCTCCCAACATCCACATATGACAAATGACAGAACTCACAAAGTACTACACATCAGGGAAGCTTACCCGGCCTTGGCATCCAATGGTGTGTGTGTGTGTGTGTGTGTGTGTGTGTGTGTGTGTGTGTGTGTGTATGTGTGTGTGTGTGTACATGTCTGTATGTTAATGTGAAAGCCATAGAACAGCCAACTCAGGTATTGTTCCTTGCGCCCTGTACACCTCGTTTCTTTTAGACAGGCCTTGAACTTGTCAAGTCTGACAAAGTAGCTGACCACCAAGCCTGGGGGACTGACCTGCCTGTTTTCTCAACACTGGAATTACAAGTGCACATCACTACACAGGGCTTTTTCAAATGAGTTCTGGGGACTGAACTCAGGCCATATGCTTTCAAGGCGAGCACTTTATCACTGAGCTAGCTCTCCAAGCTCTCAAAGTTGCTAATGTGGACCAGTCTGCCCGCAGGATTGCTGGCATGTCTGACCTTAGCTATTCACTCTTCAGCATTTCCAGACGCTACACTGATATCATATAACCCAAGGACCCCATCATAAATCATATTCTGAGCATAAACCGTCTGGCTTGGCGAATGGTTACAGGTAAACAAAAATACTTTTAACCAAGCAGTTTCAAGTGCTTAGAAGCTGACTCTCAGTAAGCAGTCAAGGACAAAACTGTCTTTCAAATGTTCAGGTTTTGGGTAACTCAGACCTGCTGAGTTAATCTTTTACTGTAGAAGTAGGCTTAATAAAGGAAAAGGCAACTGCTCAAAGAGGAAGTTGCTTCATGAACTTGATAAAGAACAAATAGGATAAAATGATCAAGAGGTTACTGAGTTTGGAGGGTCTTGGCAAGAGCTGGTTCTTGAGAGAGAAAGGTCAAAAGTCACACAGGAGAAGAACAGAGAGGGGCTAGGGTGTAGCTCAGTTGGTAGAATGAGTGCCTAGCATGCACAAAACCCTGTGTTTAGTCCCCGGCACTGTATAAACCAGGCCTGGTGGGGCATGCCAGCAATTCCAGTACTCAGAGGTGGACACAGGAGGAGTGGTAGTTCAAGGTCATCCTTGGCTGCTTAAAGAACATCTGTTCTCGCTTGTGTGTGCATATACAGGCAGGCAGGCACGCACACGCGCACACACACACTTAAAAGTAAACAAAGATTTTTTTTTCCTTAAATGTAAATTCCAAAAGTTTCCTGCTCCGAATTACAGAGCAGGACTTTTTATTTTTTTCAAGACAGGGTTGCTCTGTGTAATAGCCCTGGCTGTCCTGGAACTCACCATGTAGATTAGGCTGTCCTCAAACTCACAGAGATCCTCCTGCTTCTGAGGGCTGGAATTAAAGGCGGGTGACGCCACTACCGGACAGAGGACTTTGAGAAATCCTCCAGAGTTAGCTGTGACCCTTGTCTTCTCTAAACAGAACCCTCACTGTGAGTTGACATGTGGGAAACATATTGCTTATATAGCCAAGATATTGCTATGCAGTCAATATGAAAGGCAATTTCTATACAGCAGAGACACAAATTTAGTCTGTGCTAATAGCTGTTCAATAGTCCGATGACATCATTGTTTTGAAGTAACCTTCTATTCTCTCTATATTACTAGGTCATTTTTGAAGCAGAACGTGGCAAAGGCAAGACTGGAGAAATTGCAGTGGATGGTGTCTTACTGGTGGCAGGCTTGTGTCCAGATGATTTTTTATCTGTCGAGGGCTAAATCCCGCTGCCCTTCTTTATAACCTCTTTATATGTGGCTTTTTATGCCATTTTTCTGGGCTTTTTTCTTATATCATATCATAGGACTCTTGCATTTATAAATATAAGCTGAAAGTGTGTAATGTTCCAACAGAAATACTGTAAGATTTCTTTCTTGTCTCAAACGTACTAAGACTTGCTTTCTATGTCGCACCACTGTGCCTTCCTTCTCCTGTGTTTCCGAATTCTCCACAGTATGTCATAAAATGTGGAAATGCCACCTCATCTCCCCCTACCTAGTAAATCTGTTTTTCCTATGTGAGCTTATGGACTCTTCTAAATTACATTTCTAGAATAACAGCAACAGGAAAAAATAGTACAGATAAATGGTTAGTTGTGGAGGCTGGAAAGATGGCCTAGTGGTTAAGAACACAGGCTTTTCTGGCAGAGGATCCAGGCTCAATTCTCAGCACCCAAATGGCAGCTCACAACCATCTGCAACTCCAGTTCCAGAAGATCCAGTGCCCTCTTCTGACCTCTATGAAAACCTACATGTGTGTGGTACACATGGGTACACTTTGGCCCATACACATAATAAAGTAAATCATTTTTTAAGATGTTTAATTGTTTAACTTTTAAGGTGCTTCTTGGAAACAATGACATTAAACAGTTTTTTTTTTTGGCTAAATGGCTCATTCTACTCTTTTATAGTCAAACTTGCATATTTAATTTTTTATAATCATAACCAGTTAATCACCTTATATCATAGGAAGATAAAAGGATATGTTAGTGATTCTATGTTTACTTATGTGTATGATTCTGGAAAACATAACTTTGGTTCTTTTCTCTGTTTAGATACTTTGTATTCATAGAAATTGCTTAAAACGGGCTTAGGCGGCTTGCTGGAATGCTTGCCTTGGCATGCCCCAAATCCTGGGTCCAATCCTCTGTACCTCATAAGTTGGGAGTGGTGTTGTCTACCTGTAATCCCAGCAGATCAGAAGTTTAAGGCCATCCTTGGCTATACAGTATGTTTGATGCTAACCTGGGCTACAGGAGACCTTGTTCAATAGAGGAGTGAAGAAAGAGAGAGAAAGAGTGCTAAATCTGGCTTCCAGGAAGATACTGTATATATTCTTCGAAGCTGTTCACTGTACACATATCCCTGAAAAGACAGTACAGGCAAAAAAAAAAACCCACAGTACAATGCTTTTGTGCAAAGAGCACCAGACACTCATACAGATTAGCCACCTACCATTAGACTCATATGTAGTCCAAGTTTTAACTCTTTGGGGTTTTTTGAGGGGTCCACCACTCAGGTCCCAAATAAATCACACATGGAGGCTTATTCTTAGTCATGATTGCCTTA